CTTGGTGGCAGCAGGGAAGGAAAGCTTCCCATCTTCCTGCAATGTCTTGCTATTTACTTCTCACTCCAAAAGAACCGAAGAAAAATGTGAGAATTGTGACAATTTTAGGTAAGGGAGATCTATTTTGGGTGACTGTAAGACATTTTGTGGCTCTTGTTGAGCCCTGTAAACTGGAGTCATGGTAAATGTGTTACTTAGGTCTGCTGGCAGAGACATACACGCAGAAGTTTCCCTTTCCCCTCCCCCTTTTTCCTTTTTTTCTTTTATTTATTTATTTTCCCCCCCCTTCCCCAAACGACTCTCTCCAGAGCCATCCTTCTGTGTGTGCGTTGCAGCTGATCCTTCACAGAGGCTCTCTGCAGAAGGACTGGGTTGCTCTTTGGGGAGTGATGCAGCCCTGTGGGGCCCTCCCATATCCTGCTGCCCAGCGTTTCCAACACAGTGGACACTACCAGGCCACAGAAAGGGGAGAATCTTATTACTGTGATAAAGAATCCTTGCAGAAACAGCAAATTTTTGTCTGTCTTACAACAGAGTTGCTAGAGTTGAGACTAAATCTGTGGCTCTCTTGAGGGTTTTCTCAAGGCAGGTGTCACCATGAGATGCTAATACAGCATGTTCTACTGTCCTAACCCCAGAACAGCTGCAGCTCTGGTAACTACAGCACAGAGCTGCTCAGCTATTCCCAGTTTAAGCAGAAATTCAATATTTTTCCTCTCATACTCCTTCATCACCTGGGAGGGGATCCCCAGGGTGAAGCTGTATTGCTGCAGTTCATTTCACAGCCTGCACGGTCTGCTGCCTCCCTGCATGAGCTATATTCCCCTGCATGAGTTCACTGGACTAACGCACCTCATCTGAGAATACGGGTGCTTACCAGAGCTCAATTCCATCTCCAAGGCTGTAATAAATATCTGCAATTGGCATTCACAGATACAGATAGCAAAATGTGGGCTTGGCGTCTTAAAAACAGTGTGTCTTAAAACACTGCTTTCACCAGTTCTAGACACTGAGGCTTGGTGCTGAGGTAGTTAACAGATAACAGAGCTCAGCATTGAAGAAATGAGACTACAAATGTCTCACGTATTTAAATTGCAGCCGTTTCCAGACAAGTTGTTCGCAGTAACATCAATTATCACTAACACGATCTGCATCTGATTTCAGATGCAGCTCCTGCCTCACAGTGAACCTAGAGCAGAACGTGCTGCTGAGAAATGCACATCCATCTGCCTTTTATATCCTCCCCAGAAGCTGCCGATCCAGGGGGGACCGTGGCCGACACAAGCTTTACAATTCAAATGTATTTTAAATCACTGCCTACGTGGTTTAGAAAAACACAAAAGAATAACCGTCTGTAGTGATCCACAGCTCTCCTCTCCCAGCCCCTGGACAAGCAGCCTGGTAGGGCTGTGTGGCAGAGACAGGGCGCCAGGGAAGGGGATGCTGCGGCACCACCAACCTTGAATTCCAGCTCCATTGCAGTAACGCTCTCGCCTGGTGGCACCTGGGTCAGCTTCTGGATGTGAGCGAAGAGGTTGCGTGCAGGCACCTCGGTGTTGCCACATGTGGCTGCCTCCAGCAAGGCCTCGTGGATGAAGATGTACTGGTCCTCTGTCTGCACCATGTAGTTGCGCTGCGAGCGCATGCACGTCACGTGGCCGTAGATGTCCACGGTCTTCTCGTGCTTCATCCGCTCCAGCATGGCATCAATGACAATGAAGCAACCGGTTCGGCCCACGCCGGCGCTGCAGGAACAAAGCACGTGGCCTGAGATGACAGGCTCCTACACATGCCACGAAAGCTCTGCTCTTGCTCAAGAAAGCATTCCGGCCTAGAGCACACCAGAGGGGAATAAGGGCTCCTCCCCACACTGAGGGTGACGACCTGAGCCCCAGACGGGAGGTGACAGGGGAATGAGGGAGAGAGGTCACCGGAGAATGCGGGAGGCTACTCAGCCATTCTGCAGCCCCCCATTCACTGACGGAGTGGAAAGGACACGGTGTCACTTCTGGGCCCTGCGGTGGCTGGCAGCACCTCCACAAGGGAAGGGGAAATGTGTTTAACAGGCAGGAGAGTGACGGCGTACGTGTGCATGAAGTCAGAAGACCTGAACTCCAGACTGAGCCCCGGCACCAGTGAAGCCTGTAATTTCAAGCCTGCTTGTCCCCTAATCTGGGTCACTCTTTCCTAACCCACAGAATGAGGACAGCCAGCCCAAGGGGGAAAGCAGACAGGTGAAGTCACACATGCCTATGCTGAGCCCTTTGCTCAAGCACTGGATGCCTCTCCACATCTGCTGGAAGGGCAGTAGCAATCCCCAAACTACTCACCCTGAAAGCACCCTGAAAAAAACAGACACACTGCCGTGACATGTAAACAGAGGCAGGGAAAGGGAGCTAGACATTTCCTCATTTATGGTGCAAGTCAGATCCTTAACAGGGCTTTAATACAGCTTGTTTGTGTGTTAATTATACCCCACTCCCATCTGAAACAGAGCATGAAAGAAGAGCATTAAACACTGCTGGCAAGGCGTATGCTGGAACAGCAATGATGGAGTGGTTCGTTCAGTAATAGTCCCCACTTGGCTGGTATAGATAAATCTTGCCTAGATAAGATGCTGAGCCTTAGCAGACTAATATTTTGCTTAATGAGATGCCTTTCTACCCTGGCAAAAGGCTTCTACTGTAAATACTAGGTATGAATGTTTGTAGGGGTCGCTGCCTGTGTGTCTGCCAACAAGGTGCCTCTGAAAGGTACCACCTACTTGCGCTGGCCACACATCGCTTCATTCTGAAATGGTATACTCGCAGTTCTGCAGGAAAAACTTTTTTGAGGTTTTCCATATAGCAGTGCTGTTTAACCCGACAGAGCAGTAGCAACACAAATGTCATCCCTGCATGACTGCTGCTGGTGGCTGTCCTGTTCCCAGCCCTAGCATGTAGTGCAGGTCACGCTCCCATGAAACCTCCCCCTCAGGAACAGGAGACTCCACCTTTAGCTGGAGAGGTTAAAGCTCCTGCAGCCAGAAGACATGTGCCCAGATACAGCCTTGCAAACACACAGTCCTACCTGCAATGGACAACCATGGGCCCAGCATCTGGTGGGTTACAGGCCTTGACCCGTCGCAGGAAAGCTAGGATTGGGGTGGGGTATTCTGGTACCCCGTGATCAGGCCAAGCCATGAACTGGAACTGCCGCAGCTCTCGCTTCTCACTGGAGCCGTTCTGTTAAGACAAAGAGGAGTTGTTTTGCCTGAGAACAGTCTCATCCTGGGATGGGAACCCACTGACAGGGTAACAAGGTATCCAGCTGGCTGGGAAACAACTGGCATGTAAGGCTGTGTGTGATCATGCACGTGTTAGGCTTCTGCCACTGAAAACGTGTAGGCAAAACGTAGGCCTCTTGCAAGGCTTTTGTACACACAGATGCTCTGCAGAAAGCCAGCTAATACAGAGGGAAGAGGAGCGTGAAGAGGCGGTGAAAGACTCTTCTCTGCACAGCATGGGGTCGCTACCCGTGTACCCACTGCGCATTCAGGGAGAAACGGGCACTGGGCATGGAGGTGTCACAGCAACCAGTCCCCTCCCTGCTCCTCTGCATCACAGGTCTCTCGGGGGTGCCGGATGAGTATCTGCAAAGACTGTTCTGCTCCCGTCTTGCTGTGACCGAGTGATCTATGCAGCAATGCGGTAAGACTGGCTGGGTGACCACTGGGGGCGAGATGCCTTCCTGGGGTGGGAGTGGGAGTGAAAGTGTGTCCCGTCACACACTCTGCCGGCGTGGCCCACACTCAGTCACGAACAGAGGCAGCCTGCTGCAAAGCCCCTTCGCATCTCGGTGACGTGCTGCAGCTAGCACTGCCCCCAGGGATCTCCAAACACTAATGAGAAAGGCAGCCGGCAAGAGAGAGGGCACTCGCACACGTCAGCACACCCGCTCCGTTCGCATCATTAGCGACAGGACTGCTGAAGATTCAGCTTTCCATGTTGTCCCTCTAACGAGAGGACAGCTGCTACATGTACACCTGCCAGAGGCAAGTGCGGCTCCTGCGCCGGGGGCCCATCATGAGGTTTGAATACGCAGAGGAGAGCATCAGGTACCCTGGCCAAAATCCAGTGGTGCCAGACGCACAGCCTGCAGCTGGTCTCCCGCTGCAGCTCGGCTGTGAGAAATGGCCCCTGTGCAG